TTTGAATGAAAAACAATAAACAATAAATGAATTAAGAAATGAAAAGTCGGGGGAAGGGATGAAAAGTGGCCGAACATTGACCCACAATCGTGTCTCAAGGCATCGGTTATGTCAATGATTACATAAAGGACCAAGATTTTTATTAATGATTAAAATGCCAAACTGTGAGATAGCGAAAACTTTGGAATAATTGTAATAAAATGAAAGTACACTCTCTAAGAAATCTCATGATATACTTCATATGGTCAGATTACTTCGGGTCTGGCCGCAGTGACCACTTTTATCGGGAAATTTCAACTTATTTAATTTTAACATATGATATATGATTTCGATGTAGAATTTAACGAAGGTCACGAATATCCCGTCAGAATTTTAATAAAAAATATAGTTTATGAAATAGTAATTGATTGCGTAATTTATATACACAATGTATTACATTCCCACCCCGGTGAAGACATTGCCACCCGGGCGAAGACATTCCCACCACGGGAGAGACATTCCCACCACGGCAGAGACATTCCCACCCCGGCGAAGATATTCCACTCTCACCACAAGTTATTCCCGTTTGGTATCTTCTACATCCAAGCAAACTTTAGCTAAAAAATCAGCCGGATTGGTGATCTCAGGTTCGGGTCTACCAAACCCGAGATACCACAGAACTGTTGCTACATGGCCACAGCAGCCAACCGTTTTGAAGCAATTGGAGCATGAACAGGAATAACCTGATACAGCCTTCACACCATCCTCTTCATCTTCATTGATCGTGCTACAATCAATGAAAATGTATATGTAATGATTAATACGGTTGTATTGTCGCGACTGTATGACTCTGATCAACATTGAATCCTCAACTGTGAGGGAGAGATTTGTTTGGCCACACTCGATCAAAGTCCCGATATCATTGTTTGAGATGACCATTTCTGGCTTTCACAATGTGCCGGCACTTCGTCACAAATCGTGTCCTATTGGCCTGAGCCGTGGTAAGCTGTTTACCTTTATTAAACTCATGCAAGTGGACATCGAGACCCAGAGTCTTACGAAGTTCGGCAACGTCCCTGAAACCTCGGTCGACGAGATCAACATCGTTATCTTCCAAACCCGCTTTAATCTCATTTGGTAGTCGCTCCATAATAGTCGCATCATTGACTACGGCCTCATAAAGCAGCACTTGGGTTTTGGTTGGCAAACGTCGAACGGGAGAGGGTGACAACAGGATAGCCAGTCTTGCTAGAGTTTTCCGAACGACTGCTGAGCGACTCATGGAGAAGTCCAGGGAGGCATTGAGCAAGTGGGCGGAACAGCACTTGGGGTTTTTCCATCTAACGCGAGAACAACTCAAGTCATATGTTACCACTGTCGCACGAGAGCTCTTTTGTGGTGAAGACAAAGTTGCCATTATAGCAGATGGTACTTATATTTACCACCAAAAGATCTCCAACTTTCGCTTTCAGCGGAAGAGCTACAGTGTGCAGAAGCATCGAAATCTTTTAAAACAGTTCATGGTTGTCGCCCTTGATGGTTACATCATTGACGCATTTGGATGAATTGACGCATATGAGGCCGTGAAGTCTAATAAAGGTAAACAGCTTACCACGGACGGATTTGCATTGACTCAAGCTATGCTTGCTCGGTTGAACAAGGACAATCACCTAGCTCATATGGTTGCTGCGTTCAACTTGAATCGGACACACTCTTTCGAAAAATGGGAAACGATTGATACGAGTTTGGAGCTCGATGAGTTTCTCTATTTTACTGAAGAGGATTTCCGATCGATCACACTTGGATCATTCCAACTGAAAGTAGCTCGGTCTTATTATGCGGAGCATAGTAAGGCCGACGGAAAGTATATAATAGAGGTTTCTAAACATTTAGAATTTCTATCATATACTACTTATGGACTTTCAGTTAAGGATTCAATGTTGATCAGAGGGCGCATACAGTCGCGACACCACAACCGTATTAATCATTACATATGATCGTGATACGATCAATAAAGATGAAGAGGATGGTGTGAAGGCTATATCAGGTTATTCCTGTTCATGCCCCAATGGCCTCAAAACGGTTGGCTGCTGTGGCCATGTAGCAACAGTTCTGTGGTATCTCGGGTTTGGTAGACCCGAACCTGAGATCACCAATCCGGCTGATTTTTTAGCTGAAGTTTGCTTGGATTTAGAAAAGATTGAACGGGAATAACTTGTGGTGAGAGTGGGAATGTCTTCGCCGGATTGAGAATGCCTCTGCCGTGGTGGGAATGTCTTCGCCCGGGTGGAAATATCTTCACCGGGGTGGGAATGTAATACAATGTGTATATAAATTACGCAATCAATTACTATTTCATAAACTATACTTTTTATTAAAATTCTGACTGGATATTCGTGACCTACGTTAAATTCTACATCGAAATCATATAGCATATGTTAAAATTAAATAAGTTGAAATTTCCCGATAAAAGTGGTCACTGCGGCCAGACCCGAAGTAATCTGACCATATGAAGTATATCATGAGATTTCTTAGAGAGTGTACTTTCATTTTATCACAATTGTTCCAAAGTGCCCGCTATCCCACAGATGGGCATCCTCCTTTCATATTTTATAATTTAATTTTCTTTTTTATTATTTTCGGACATTTATTTAAAAAATAACAAAACTATAATTTTGTGTTTTGTTGTCTAAAGACAATATCAGTAAATGAACAGTCAGTCCGGATAGAGACTCACGTTTGGGAAGTCATGTGAATCTAACGGTTATTAAGTACAAGACATAAACACATATCTATTTGTTAAATACAATATATTCTGTGAATTATGAGCAAAAGGGCTGTAGATGTGTTGTGGGCTGGAATGGGGGCGCTTAACATTATTTATATTACCCTCATCATTATTACCAGTTTAATTACATATCTATTTGTTAAATACAATATATTCTGTGAATTATGAGCAAAAGGGCTGTAGATGTGTTGTGGGCTGGAATGGGGGCGCTTAACATTATTTATATTACCCTCATCATTATTACCAGTTTAATTAAGCAATATTAATCTATTTAATGATAATTAACTGCAATTTAAATTTACGTTATATTTTCATCCATATTGTAGCATAAAAAATTTATTTTGATTTAAATTATATTTAATATTGTAGTGTTTGTGAATTACTAGCTATTGAATTAAATACTCAATTTGTCAACAGTACTACAGTATATCTACTTAACGCTAAACATTTAACTTTAATTAAAATGTTATGATATTGTAAACTTAAAATTAAAAAATGAAATCCAAGTTTTATAAAGTAAATACCATAACTAAGCTATGCATTAGTATTCGAGTATTACATAATGTATTAAAGTTTTACTGAATCTTTAATTTAATTAAATAAAAATAAAAGTAATCAAAACTAACGTTTCGGAAATCCTGAGTTTTCAGGCATATAAAAAATGTCAACACTTTTACGCCAATGCTTTTGAATTCATGGTTAATTTAAGCAATTTATCATTTTAATAACGTTTATATGAATCAAAAATAGGATATCTATTGATAATTATAAAGAAAACATAATATAAGTCACTCTTTTGTCTCATGAAATAGTGTACAACTGTTTTGAGATTATCCTTGAATTAAAACGAGAGTAAAGCAATAGTGAATTGTTAGTAAAACTAGTTTTTTAATACCTTAACTACAGTACAGTATACCTACAATAATAGAGAACAATATTGTATTGTTGGTATAAATTATACCGTATAATACAGTATAGTCAGGATATCCGAAATATAATTATTATTAAGCAGTCTATGGGTCTGTTATGGTATTTATTAGGATATGTCTAAAGCCTAAACACTTTGCATTATAACAGTAAATTCCAGCACATTTTAAGCGAAACAACATTTAGCTTCATTCAAATCAAGGTCTATCCGGACTTAAGACACACACCAAACACCACAGACATGAGCCAGTGTTGAGGTCACCCAACAATTTTCGTATTATTTTTACTATTTCTCAGCCCTTTTGCAAATACACACTAAAATCTTAACTACAAATCAGATCTGAAGTGCGAAAAGAAAAGTTTTAGTTTTGCCTTAAAAAGAGTATTGATTTTGACACAACTCTTTCTTCTGGACACACAATTGGTTTTTTCTTATTTCACTATTATTTCGACTAAATTTTTTTGTTAAAGAAATTTAAGCCGAAAATGGATTCTCCGATCAGAGATTACTACAACGGAAAGTCCATATTAATAACGGGCGGCACAGGATTTATTGGCAAAGTATTGTGCGAGAAGTTGTTGCGCTCGTGTCCGGGCGTTGACAATATCTTTGTGTTATTACGTCCGCGAAATGATAAGACAGCCCAACAACGGCTTCAGGAAGATATACTCGACTCTAAGGTCTTTACTCTAAATAACAATGGCTTAAATCACAGCAAAATCGTTGCCGTCAGCGGAGATGTGAGCACAGCTGGTCTCGGCTTGTCTGACGAGGACAGGGATCGGCTTATATCTGAGGTGTCGGTTGTGTTTCATTCGGCGGCTTCTGTTAAATTTCACGGACCCCTCAATGACTTCATTGTCCAAAATGTTTGCGGAACTCAAGCAGTGATGCAATTGTGCTCTAAGATGACTAAACTTGAGGTTTGTTTTGTGATTTCATATTTAAGTATAATTTTATTTATAATTTTGGAAAATTTACACCAAATTTAATTATAATTGAAAATATTTTTGATGAAATCCTGTACAATATTGTTGTTAGATCCTGTTGTTAGATATACTAATATTGAAATATTTATTTACTTTGCTTAATATTCCTTAAGTTCAAAAACCGGACACAATATGCGATTAACTTTTTAATATAACTGTTTGTATGACATTACAGACTCTGGTATACGTGTCGACAGCTTATGCCAACTGTAGTCTATTGGAGATCAAAGAGGAAGTCTATAAATTGAAGCAAAACGCGACCGAAACCATAAGAATGGCAAATGCTATCGGAGATGAAGTGGACACCAAAGCCATGAATGATCTGATGGAAGGCCGACCCAATTCTTATACATTTAGCAAAGCTATTGCCGAGAATCTTGTGACAGAGAAATATAGCCATTTGCCTCTTGTGATTGTCAGACCCTCTATTGTGACCCCTTCTGTCAAAGAGCCCGCACCCGGTATTTCACTTACCTTTCATTAGAACTTAACTTTGGAAAATCATAAGTGACAGAGAAATATAGCCATTTGCCTCTTGTGATTGTCAGACCCTCTATTGTGACCCCTTCTGTCAAAGAGCCCGCACCCGGTATTTCACTTACCTTTCATTAGAACTTAACTTTGGAAAATCATAGACTAAATTCATAATTGATATACAATAGGATGGGTTGATAACGTGAATGGAGTGGCGGGCGCTCTCATGTTGGGTGCTTTGGGTATTGCCAGGACTATGGAAGGTAAACACATTTACAGTTATAATCTGTTATTTATAATAAATTTATTAATACTAATCATTTCATTATTTAGTCAATTGTGACGCGAAAGCGGATTTAATTCCCGGTAAATATTATTTAAAATTAATAATAAATGTTATTTATTTAATAATTTTGTTACTTTTAGTGGATATGATCGCCAATTCTCTGGTCGTGATTGGTTGGCATTCAGGCACTCATCCCAACGATAAGAAACAAGTGATACATTTGACGAGTGGTGTGGAGAACCCGGTGACCTGGGGCAAATTTCTTGACTACTCGAGAGTGGCAGCTGTGAAGGCGCCGTCCATACGAATGGTGCGGCCATTGGCTAAGAATCCCACGAGTTATAGGGGACCGTTGGGTCGTATCAATCATGTGATCACCAAATATGTGTCACACATATTGTTCGCGTATTTCGTGGACGCGATTATTACACTACTCGGCTATAAGAGGATTATGGTAAAAGTGACAAATAAGATGCACCGGGCGTTCACTGTATTGGAACACTTCACTAACAAGGAGTGGGTGTTTCACAACACAAACTATTATGAAATACACGACAAGTTGTCAGAAGAGGATCAGAAGCTGTACTTCTCGGACATACGACGACTNATTATTGTCGTTAAACACCAAACATGTAATGTATTTGTTATGCAATTGTTTTCCATAGAGACATGTGTTTGAATTGAGTCCAACTCTTTCCACAAGTATTGAAATTTTCAATTTCAAAATCTATTATATATTTGTAAAGCGTTTGAAACGACACTTAAAAACACATAAATTATTGTAATATTTATTGTATTTATTGTTACACTTCTGGCAAACTATCAAATGACAGGATTTGCTGTTAACGTAATGAAACACGTATTGAATTGTTTGACAAATCATTTAAATTTCATTTTCATTTGAAATGTCTGTCAAATTCACATAACTGTAGACTTCAATGAGTTTAATAATCATATCTCAGGTGTTATTATAATTAGATTAGTTTTAAACTAGTATTAATCATATTTGACATTATCATGACAGTAAATGATCAAGTTGAATTGACAATATTGATTCACAATATACATGTACAGTACCATAACATGCATGGATATTTAATACAGTATTGCAGTGCCATTGAAACAAGTACTGGTGAAAAGCCACCAGAGGGTAGTGAGTAGTCGGTATACTTACATTGTTGGGGTGTCTACTTTATTAATATTCTATGTCTATTTTAGGCACTTTGTTTGAATGACCAAGTACAGTACATCGTTGTATATTTTATATTGTTTTTGTTGAATAAAAGCACTTAACAAACACTCCACTCTATTAATAGTGGCCTAAATTTAGCATTTAATTTAGTAATGAATATGTATTTAGATAATAATAACCAATACTTGTCAGATAATTAAAGTAAGTTTACCGTATTTTCTCATGTAAAGTGCCCCACAATTATTTCCTAATGAAATATTCTTTGCTTTTTGCACGTATAGAAAAACAGTAAAACTTTGATATCAATAAATTTAAATACACTTAATTTTATAATTAGATTATAAATAAATTTAATCGTTGAAAATATTTCAATAGTTTAAAAAATGTTTTACTAAAAAGATATTTAAGATTGAATTTTTATAACAATTAAGAAAATTAAAATTAAAGAAAATTTTTATTACATATTTTGTACATTTGATTAATTAATGTAAACGACATTTTATAGCTCATTATTAAAGAGTAATTTAAATGTTTTATATTTGATTTATAACAAAAAAAATAATCAAGAAACAAAATTAAATATTTTTGTGCAAATTTTAATCACTTAATAAAATACTCTATAAAAAGCTAAGTCACTATAAGTACATTAGAAAACATATATTTTAATTGTTTAATTAAATTATAATAATTTTCATTTTGTTTAATTGGAGAGAAAATAGCGATAAAACAAGTAAAACATAAAGAGTGAAGAGGTGTACAAAACTATAAGAAATAAGTTGTAAAATAAAGTGATATAATTGATTCTCGTCTGAGCCTTATCTATGTTGGAGTCGTCTTCCTTCAGGAGATACCTTCGGGTCCCTAAATACAGGTTTTCCGCGTATTTCTGCCAATCGAGTCGTCGTATGTCCGAGAAGTACAGCTTCTGATCCTCTTCTGACAACTTGTCGTGTATTTCATAATAGTTTGTGTTGTGAAACACCCACTCCTTGTTAGTGAAGTGTTCCAATACAGTGAACGCCCGGTGCATCTTATTTGTCACTTTTACCATAATTCTCTTATAGCCGAGTAGTGTAATAATCGCGTCCACGAAATACGCGAACAATATGTGTGACACATATTTGGTGATCACATGATTGATACGACCCAACGGTCCCCTATAACTCGTGGGATTCTTAGCCAATGGCCGCACCATTCGTATGGACGGCGCCTTCACAGCTGCCACTCTCGAGTAGTCGAGAAATTTGCCCCAGGTCACCGGGTTCTCCACACCACTCGTTAAATGTATCACTTGTTTCTTATCGTTGGGATGAGTGCCTGAATGCCAACCAATCACGACCAGAGAGTTGGCGATCATATCCACTGAAAGTAACAAAATTATTGAATAAATAAAATTTATTAGTAATTTTAAATCATATTTACCGGGAATTAAATCCGCTTTTGCGTCACAATTGACTAAATAATAAAATGATTAGTATTAATAAATTTATTACAAATTATAACTGTAAATGTGTGTTACCTTCCATAGTCCTGGCAATACCCAACGCACCCAACATGAGAGCGCCCGCCACTCCATTCACGTTATCAACCCATCCTATTGTATACCAATTATGAATTTAATTTATGATTTTCCAAAGTTAAGTTCTAATGAAAGGTAAGTGAAATACCGGGTGCGGGCTCTTTGACAGAAGGGGTCACAATAGAGGGTCTGACAATCACAAGAGGCAAATGGCTATATTTCTCTGTCAC